GGGTGGGCGGGGATGCAGGCCCGCCGCGCGCCGAGCTGTCGCATGCTTACAGCTTGCCTACCTGATGGGCGTTCTGCCGGTCCTGCCGGTGGCGAGCATCAATTGTCCCACCGCTCGCGTCTCGTCGCGACGACTCCCGATCCATCACACGGGGTGGCCCGACCGCTGGCCGCTCCTGCTGTGGTGCGAGGCTCGCTGCCCACCATCACTCCCTGCCACACCTCCACCACACCTGGGGCCCGTCGCGTCCACCCTTAAGCCTAGCCATACGACCCCAGCCAACGCCGTCCCGCCTCTTCGGGACATCCATAATGCACACCATGGACTGGATGAGGGCGTGTGTGTGAAGGGGAGGACAGGAGGCAGGGTGACACTATATGCTGAATGGTGGTCAGGTTGGCCATGCTACCTACTAGAAGTCAGGAATACACGTTGGGCTATCCCGGGAAATGGGAAAGGTAGTTTGGAGAAATGCCTGAATCACACAGTATATCGTTGTGCTTGAGTTTTTGCCCGGAAAGTCACGTAGAAAGTCGGAGAAAAGTCATCAGGGAATTCAAAACTCAACCGATTGCGTGGGGGCTATTCTCGTATTTTGGGCTGTCCGCAGAGAGGAGAGGTCAAAAAGTGACCCAGAACTGTCCGTTTCGTTTACAGTCTGTCGCTCCTTCTCTCTCGCGCGCGCTCTCTTCAAAATGTATGAAACATTGCTGCCGTGACTGGCTTGCCGGCTTGCCGGCTTGCCCCCGTCCATCCGCCCATTCTGGTTCAGTCTGCCATCCTCGTTGGCCGCTGATTCGCGTGATTCGAGGGAAAGACTCGCGGCGCCGCGTCGTCCCACGCACCAGCCGAGTGAATCACGTGAGGTCAGCGTGGCGGCAGTCTTACTCGAAAGTTAGAGAGTGACGCTATACACACAGTTTCAAATCAGAAAATTGTGTACGTAAATGTTAGTCAGTGGTTCAAGTGCAAAAGCTATATTCTTGTAAAATTTTGCATGATTTTTATAAAATCTCCTTAATCTTGTGTTATGGGCAAACTGCAAATTTCTCTGGAAAATTTTCTGACTTAAAATCCCCGCTCATGAAAATCGCCATGTCATGTCCGCACACTTGGGTTTCCTGTGCCGTTGGGAGGCCCTTGCCCCTCCTCCTGGATCCCTGGCGGAGGCCTGCGGCGTGCTGCTCATTGTCAACACGTTGAGTCACACACATGATGATGGACAGCGCGGGGATCTTGTAGGAGGAGGAGGGGAAGGAGGCGTGCCGCTGGTTGGCGCGGCGGCTCGGCGTGTCTGACCGGCGTTGACCGGCTCTCATCATGAGGGGCACTTCGCTGCATCCGGCTGCACCCGCCCCCCTCATCATCACCCCCGAAGGTGTAAACAAGAAGGGTAAAGGGTATCATTCTCGGCTTCCTCCTCTCCACCTATCCGTGCGTTCTGTTCCGTTCCACTATAAAGGTGATACCCCTTCAATAAATTACGTTCCCCGAAGTTGACGCGGGGAGACGTTATTTTTGGAGAACGCTGCGTGGTCGCTAAACGCGGCGGGGCGCTCTCAGGCGCTCAGGGCGGGCCGCCGGCCCCACACAGCTGCATGGCGGGCTTGCCTACCCACCGGGTTGCAGGCGCCCTCGCTAGCAGAGCCACCTTATAGCAGGTACTCGTTCCCAAATGGCGCGTCCTCCCTCCCCTGTCGTGCGCTCGAGCCCCATCAGCCCATCAGATACGGAGGACGACCCGTCCCCATGAGCCCCGCGGGACTGGAGTGGACACGCCGGACAGTATCGCGCCGGCCGTCTCGCGTGACACGGCGGCGCCGATTTGTTGTTATCGCTATTATTTGTCCGACGCGCACGCGCTGCCCTCTTGTCGGCTCGCGGATCGCGGACTCTTCCTTCTGGTAGAGACAGTCTTGGGGGACTTTCTAAAACAATTAAGTTGAAAAGACTCTAAAAATGTGCGTTTGTTGGGGTTGCAATCTGCAAGCCCTACGCTGTACGGGATGTGAACCCCTTGGACTGGTGGCCAGCGTCCTGCGCGGCTAGATCAAGTGGGTGGCTAAAGTTGCTGAAGTCGAGCTGCACAGTCTGTGTAGCCCGGGCGGGCCCCGTGGGCTCTGGCAGCTGCTGGTGGTTGGCCCGTGGCTCGTGGGCTCAGATTCGCCAGCCTATTACAGCTTACGGCGCTGCCACGCGGCGGTCCCGCGTTGCACGTTGCACATCCCTATTTGGGTCACCTGCGCGACGACGGCGCGGACCAGCGGACCACCCGCGGCAGTGCAGTGCACGTGTCCGGTGTCCGTGCCGCCCGCTCTGGAGAACAAACGCGACGTGGAGGCCGCGAATAGCAAGGAAACGCTTTGCCTCTGCGACGCACTGCCCCGCGAATTAGAGTGCAGCAGCGCTGTGCGGCCACTTATGCCCCGCCTTGAATGTGACCCTCTCTGTCTCTCTGTTGCAGCTGCTGGCGTCCCCCGCACACACCATGCCGCCCCAGCACCTGCTGTGCGCCGGGCTGCTCGGCGCCCTGCTCGTCCGCGAGGCGAGGTGAGTCTGTCAAACTTTGAGGGGTACTTCAATTTTTAAAATGTCATTGTACACCCTCTTACGCAATGATTTTAAAAAATCTGAAAAAATTGAAAATCGGTTCAAAAATTAGACATTTCGAAAAGAAAATCGAGAAAAATGTGTAAAATTTCAGAAAAAAAGAAAATTTGGTGTAAGTACGCATGACTTTACATTGAATGACCCCTCGACTGTTCTTCTTGCTCTGTATCCTACTCGCCACCTAATTGACTCTATCTTTCGCGCCGGTTTGGCTCCCCCCGTAACGTGGTTTCATTTGGTTCACAGCGCTGACGACAATGCCGCCGCCGATGAGGCGTCCTTGGCCGCGGAGCGCGCCGCCAAGAAGGACGAGGACTCTAGCGAGGACGAGGCGGAGCCCGCCGACAAGAGGCAGCAGCGGCCGCCGTCGCCCGCCGCGACCACCACCGCCGCCGCGCCGGGCGACGTGGACCCCGAGCTCGAGCGCTCGCTCGAGAGGACGCTGCGGGAGTCGCTGGACTGGGCCAAGGCGCTGGTAGCCGAATAGAGGTGAGAAGGTCGTGCTCGAGGAGCGGCTTTATTGAGGCGGGGGAGGAGGGATCTAGAACCGCGAGTAGTAGCCCGCGTCCAGGCCGGGCTGCGCGCCGCCGCCGCCGCCGCCCTGGAGGACGAGGTTGTTGTTGTAGTGGCCGATGAGTCCCGGGCGCGGCTGACCGGCGGGCGGCAGGAAGTTGCCGACGGCCAGGGGCGCCACCGCGCCCTGCTTGGCCGTCGTCGTGAACGCGCTGCCGCGGACGCTGGCGCTGTCCTTCTTCTTGCCGCCGCTGCTGTTGTCGTCGTCGTCCTCCCCCGTGTCTTTGCTGCCCCGACACATCCGCAGCGAGAAGTAGTACAGCAGCTCGACGAAGCTGAGCAGACTGGCGCCGACGAACAGACCCGCGGCGCCGCCCATGGACACTGCAGCAGAGTCAGATTATTCGTGTCAATGTCTACGACATGTTTTAAATTTTCAAAAAAACATAAAAACAACAACAGAATTTCGCCGGGAACCTCAGTCTATTTTCGCAGTTATGCTGTACCGTACGGACGGGTTGCCTACTCGCCCGGTGTCGTAAGGCAAAGACAGGAGGCAAACTCGCCCCAACTACCTCTGCATGCGCATGCGTGGTATAGGTATACTTACAGCATATCTGTACGAAAGTTGACGAGGTTTCTAAGCGCCCCTTTGTACCAACACCAACATCCCTCTCGAACTTTAGCACTCACCGACCATGTCGAGGCGGCCTCGCACCACGTTCCGCTTGTACCTCTCGCTGGGCAACCTGTCCAACATGAGCTCGATCCGCGACGTGTTGTGCGAGATGCTGCGAACAACGACGCCGAAGCTTAACTCTCCGCTTTCATCTGGTTGTTTCAGGGCAAGCGCGTCCCCATGTGTACTGTACGCGAAGTCGTTTGAAAACTACGAACTTCGAGTTGCGACCGACCTCAAGTGGAACGCGGACATCACCACCGTCCGACCTAATTGTATTTTTAAAAGTAATTTGGGTCTGCGGCCAGCTGGTTCTTGCCGCTCGTCTTGCTTTCCGGCTACTTTTCTATATATTTTGTTGAGATTTGTAATACGTGATTTTTATAAAGACGTGATCAGAAAGACGTTATCGCCGTGCTTCTCTGTCTTACCCGAATGACTCCTGGGTGACGATGTTGTACTCGGGCTCGGTGCAGGACGGCACGCAGTTGCAGTACAGCCCCTCCTTTCGACTCCAGCTCGTCTTTAGCACCGAAAAGTTCGTGTAATGGGTGTAGAGGCACATGAGTCCCTCCAGCGTGCAGATCTCGTCCTCCTCTGAGGACATGCGTAAGCCGGCGAAATTGTCGAGTGTTATATTTTGTTTTTACAGTTAATTTTCCCCGACTCATTTCGACCGAGGGGTTTTTACTGTAAATTCAAGCGCACGCACCGATGTTTCTGTTTTCCCTTGATTATTTTTGTCTGATTTTCTGGAGTGTACTCTAATTTTTTCGAGTCAAGTACCCCGTCTCACTTACTCGCATTGGGCATGAGGTGAGTGGTGCAGCCGCATTGCTTGATCTGCGCCTCCTTCCTGCACTGGGTGATGCACGCCGAGTACGAGTAGTAGCGGTACACGGACAGGTCGTTCTCGTCGAGGAACCGGCACTTGCGCTGCACGGTGGACGTGTCCCGGACGCCCGGCTCGTTCTCGATCTCGCGCACTGCGATGCCGAAGCGCTTGTGTATCAGCGGGGCCGCCACGAACACCTCCGAGCTCAGCGAGTTGAGGAACGGCACGTCCTCGGGCGAGTGGATGTGCACGTTGCTCTGCACGCGGAGCTCCAGATACACGGCCGCCTTCGGGGCCCGTCGGTTGGCTAAAATGGGGAGCTTGTCCTTCTTGCCTCTTAGCCTGTCGTCAAATAGAGAAAGAGGCATTACACATTACACAGCCCGCGTATTACACTGTACGCGCTTCGGCGCCACCTCCACCACCGCCCTCCTGTAAAATCCCCAAACAGCGCGCCACGGGGCGTCTGCAGTGTTGACAGAGCGCCCCCATAACCTCTCGGACGTCGGGGTCGCGTCTGGCGCGTCGGGCCGGGGAGCATGCCAGAGGCGTCCCTGGTCCTGGACGCCGAGTTCCTCTTCCTGCTGACTCTGCTGCGCCCCGTCTTCGCTGCCCTGTCGGGTGAGGAGGCCCCCGTGCTCCGCGAGCAGGCCCGCGCCTGGCTGGGGCGCCTGTGTCAGGTCCCCGCCAAGGTGGATAGCGCGCGCCGGGACCGCAACGAGTACCTCAGCCGGTGAGCGGCGCGAAGCCCGAGGTGGGCGTCGTACCCTATCCTACCATACCCGATCAACCACTGGCCACGACACTCCCCACGTAGGTTGTACTACGGCATGATGACCAACAAGCTGGACCCCGTGTTCATGGACGAGCCGCCGGAGGGCGCGCTCAAGCCCCCGCGCGAGGTGTTTACCGCCGTGGACGTGGAGTCGTGGCTGAGCGAGACCGCCAACGACGCGACGGGGCCGTCCTGCAAGGGCCGCGGCGACGCGGACGAGAGGACGTACCTGGCCACGCAGGTGCTGCCGGGCGGCCGGGGTGCGTTCGGCTACCTGGCCGTGTCTCTCGCCAAGGGCGGGCCGCACTGGGTGTCCGGGGACCGGAGCCCCTCCGGCTGGCGGCCAGCAGGTGAACCCCAGGCCACCTCCACCCCGCTGGCGCCCGACCAGCCCTCGGGCTCCGCGGCCCCCCAGGTGCGCGTCGCTGTCGTCACCACGTGCGCTCCCACCACCACCACCATCACCAACGCGCCCAAATCAACAGCAGGACGCGAGCCCCATGGAGGGAAGGCTGGGCGCCAGACCGCCCCCCGAGCAGCGGCATCTGCTGCTGAGCTTCTACGACTCGCTGATCCACGACCTGGACCAGGCTGTCGCGGAGCCCGACAAGACCACCCCGGAGCTGGAGAAGCTCATCACCTCCTTCCAGGCAAGCCTGTGCTACCTAGTCAGCTACATTTGGGTTGCGTCACGTTACGGCATATTCTCTGCTACCAGGATCCGTCAGACTCGGTCGAGGAGGACGCGAGCGTCACCTCACGGCAGGCGGAGCTTCTGGGGCAGCTGCGGGAGCGCCTGGAGGAGCGCCGGGAACGGGCGGCGCAGCGCTCCATGCTGCTGGACTCCCTGGAGGAGGAGGCGGCGGCCGGCCCGAGTACCACCCATTCGCGGCCAGGCGCCCCGCGGCAGCGCCGCGCCGTCATGGACGAGGACGACGTCTGGAACATCCGTCCCGAGAACGTGGCGCTGCTGGAGGCCGCCTACCCGCGCCAGCTGGTGCACCGCTTCCTGGACGCCATCGTGCGCGAGAGGGTGGCCGTCCTGGGCAGGGTGCGCGCGCGGCGTCACCTGCAGCAGCGCGTCGAGGGGCTCGAGGACGACGCCGCCGAGGACATGGAGCACTACCGGGACGCGACGGCCGCGTGGGCCGGCGTGCTGCGCTCGTCCGACGCGGCCGCCGTCAGCGAGAAGGCCAAGAGCGCCGTGGAGAGCGCCGCTGGACAGGCGGACCGCTGCGCGGACCTCGCCACCGCGACCACGGACATCATCCGGGAGCTGGGCGCGACCAGGGCGCGCTACTTCGAGAACGAGGAACGCCACCGCGACCTGCAGGTGAGTGGCGCCGTGTATCCTTCCCTAACCATGAGGCCTCGCACCCCCACGGTGCGCCCGCCTAGCGACCACGTCCCGCCCGCAGATCCACACGCAGGCCGAGATCGAGGTGCTCCGCGCCGAGGAGGCCGTGCTGAAGCGGCGCATCCTGGAGGCCGAGCGCGCCGGGCGCGCCCCCTGACCGCGCGCCCGTTTGGCGAGGCCGGCGCCGTGACAAGGGGGGGCCGCGGACGCTCCCGCCCGCTCTGGGGGGCAGCGGCCCTGCCCGGGGGCCCCACCAGCGGCAGTGCCACCGGCAGTGTCCCCCAGCGGACCCGTCCCGATCAAATACACATACAGCTTACTGTACCAGACTGTACCTCACGCCCTGCTGCGAGTTGAGCGCGAAGCACGTGCCGATCTCCGTGTCCAGCGGCAGGAAGTGGTCGCAGCAGTTGAAGGCGACGTTATTCACCTTGCAGTCGACGAAGATGTCGGGGCACCCGCTGCGTATCTGTCGCGGAAAACGCCCGCAAGGCTATGCTATAGAGTGTGGGTGGGCCACGGGGGTCCCGAAAGGCGAGGGAGTAAACAGGGCCCGGGCTGGGCTGGTTGATGCTCTTTAGGTTGGTTTAGACACCTTGACTTGCGCCCTTTAGCGCTCACGCACCTTGCGAGCGAGGGCCGTAAAGCCAGACTTGGGGCAGTTGACGTGGCCGTCGAAGCAGAACTCCTTGATGTAGTAGGCGGAGCCTCTGAAGTAGGATATCTCCTTGAGGACCTCATCCAGATTGAAGTCGTGGTCCTCTCCGTAGATCCTGCGAGTGGGGAAATTTGCCAAATGCAGGGTAGCCAAGCACATACTGTGTTGTACTTACTACACACCAGTTACTGACTTGGCGCTCATGAAGTACACGCGCTCCATGTTGTCCTCCTCGCACACCGAGATGGTCGGGAAGGTGGTGTCCCAGTCGAGGTAGGTGCTCTCCACCACGAAGCTGATGGCGTTGTTCTGGAACGCCTCCCACGAGGCCATCATGAGCTTGGCGGAGGCGCCCCATGACACCATGCACACCACCAGCCAGAACACTCTGCACCGCAATAAAAGCCGAGGTGAACCAAAGCTTCGTGCGCCCCAGGACAGCATGCACCGCAAACGCCGAGCTTTGGCAACGCATTGCGCCGATTATCGCGCCCCTGCGTCGACTTCTCGACGCGTTTCTCCAAATACCCCTCTCTCACTGTCCTGCGTTGTATTTTTACCTTTCGCTCCAGTGGCGCTCTTCCTGCGCGACGAAGCGCAGCCCGTGGAAAGAGGTGTTGTTCAAAAAGTCCTTGAACGAGCTGAATATGCCCATGTCGGCGGCCTGGCGCCCGGTACGGCGCTCGGTACGTACGACTCTGATCCGATGCTCGCCGGGCCTTTTAATTTACATTGCTCTGCACGACGCAATTTGTTTTCCGACAACGTCCCCACTCTATTATTTTGTTGTGTTGTATTTCCGAGCTGAGCTGGCCAGAGCGCCGCCGCCGGGCCCCTCGCTGCTCGCCGCCGCCGGTTGGGTTGCCTACCGTCGCGGCGCTGAGGCGCGCTGCTCGCCTGTGGGCTGTGGGCCCGGGTCGAGTGGCGCGATGGGGTGCGACAGGGTAGGACCGTGAAATGTGATCAATTATTCAGAGGCTCCGGCCACCAGCCAGCCGTCGTGCCGAGGCCGTGGCGTCATCCAGAGGGAGAGAGACGAGAGGGGGGGGGGGGTTTCAGATGGCATCGCATCATACATGTGCGGGCCGGCCGGCAACCGGCAACCCCTGCATTTTTAATTCGGATCAGATAGCGGCCGAGTGCTACGCTTGCGGGGCGAGTTGCGCCTCCACGGGCCTTTTGTTGATTTGGATGATTTGATGTCAAAATGCTATTTCGCCGTACGTTGTAAAAACTTGGGATCATTTCTTTCTCGCGTGTTCGTGGCGTTGGATTTTTGTTATTTTTGTTTCGACCGTGGGGGGATATTCAAGGGGACCTTTACGACGGTTTGTGCAGATTTACCCGTGTGAAGGCTGTCGTGTGCGATAAAGTCGTGACAGGGTGGCGATTGGGGGAAGGGAGAGAGGGGGAGTCGATTTCCAGCAACACTACTGCACTACGTGTCCAGGCGCGGGGTAGTCCCGACGCTACTCCGCCAGCAGGAGCCACGCGCACGCGTCCGCATGGAGTCTCGACGAGCGTATCGCAGGGTTGGATTTCCCCACCACTCTCATTTATAAGTACCAGGTGGCTGATTCACGCCACGCACTTTCGTAGATCTGTACCACATGCTTGCATGCGGGAGGGTTGCCTACTCGCACGGGGCCATAAGGAGCCGTGGGCAGCGAGCAAAGGAAAACCCGCCCGCGGCCGTGCATGCGGTGTCATGTACCGGGTAAGGCTGTGATGGTGACTGGAGGACTGACTTGGACGGACTAGCAAGACGTTTGAGTGGCAACTGGTTTATTGTTCTTTCTGCTTGCATTTTATAAACATCGGGCACAGCCTTGCATAAGGGTTTTCAGGTTTGCCAACATACAACATACATACATAACATGCGGTACACTATAACTACGAAAGTGCGCGGCGTGAATCAGCCACCTGGTATACCATTCTGCGTTTTTATTGGAATAAAAAAACACTCCCTCTTGACCCCGTATGTAAGTATGACCTCCTTTCTGAGATCAGTATAATTACTATTCTTCTCACGATGACGTCGTCATTCTCTATTTCTGCTCATTCACTCACACCCACAGTCCGTCAGTCCTCAGGACTTATTCTGCATTTATATTTCTCACCCTATTTCTTTTTCTATCGGGAGGGTTGGTAAATGCAGCTTGAAATCGGAGGTCCCACGACAAGACATGTCATGTCATATCCGCTGCGGCTGGAATGCGCGCTTACGCCCCTGCTGGCCGGCCATATGTTCGCGCCCCGCCCCG